CATCACTGGCCTCTGGGAAAGACAGACAAATGCTGGACTTTTCAGAGAGTGGAGGGTTAAAAGAAAGTGGAAATAGATTAGGTAGAGAAGCGGACAGGTGGCCAAAGCAGTTCGATTTCTCCACAGTGGCGGGGGAAAACTGTCTTCCCTGGTCGCTGTTGAACAGATATTGACGTAGATATTTGAGATAAAAGTTCATGTCTCAATGTGGCCCAATATTTTAAAAAATCAAGATACCTAGTGTTGTACCTAAAAATAAAGATACCTAGCATAGTGTCCAACAGCTGCTGAAAACACATTTAGTTGTAAAGTTGTAAATATTGTGCATGAATCAGTAGGAAGAACTCAAAAGAGGCATGCTGACATTTGAATCTGAGGTGTCATGATCGGGCCTCCGTGGAATATTTTGTTGAGGGATTAGTCTGTGACAGCCAGCTAATCAGGATATTGCACTGGAATAATGACAGCTCCCTTATCAGTCCTATCACTGCAGTGTTAGAATACACTTTAATGAATAGGCAATGAGATTTATGACTGACTGCTCCTGTTTGCCTGCAGCTTACTTTTTCAAGATAGGAACTGCAGATGGTGTGTCTATGTATAATACTGTATAAGCTGGTTTTATGGCAAAATATTTCCAGTCTTTGAACACTTTAGGGGTGGACAGTATAAACAGTATAGAAAGTACACCGGTATGAATTTGCCCTGCTGTATGAATCTTACTTACTTTTTACATTTTGCTGACCGGTAGAGCTCCTACAAAGAAGAGGAGGAGTTGGTAAAATAAAAAAAAAGGCCAGTTAAGCTCGGACACCGTTCTGTTGCTCACTCACTCCGCTCCGGTTCTGGTGCTCATTGTGCTCATTCTCTGGTTTACCTTAGAGCTTCTAGTTCAGGTACAGCTAATAGGACTGCTAAGTAGCTAATGGCCACTAGTACAGATAGCAAATGCAGCAGTGCTGTGGTACAAGAGAAAAGGTCCATGTTGCACCAATCCCCTGATACTTATACAAGTTTAATGTTTTTGTTTTTCTCTGACTACCCGACTAATGGGTCGACGATGACTCTTCTCAGCGACTGACAGTTAAGTGGACTGTTAGGGGGCAACCCTTTTGCTAATCACCTCAAATCAAATGTTTCTTTTCTTTTCTTTCTTCACAATATATGCTCCTATAATACCTCTGTACTATGTGAAATATATCCTACTAGTAAAGAGTAGAGCAGGAATGCAGTTGTTATGTGAAAGTCCACCAAAGTTGAATTTAAAGATTAAGCACTGTACAGATTAACTGCCACAAAATATTGTGTGT